ACTGCAGTTTGGCTATGAGGTGAGAAAAATAACCCCCTTTTTAAAAAAAACCTTGACCACACTTTCCCATCTTTTCTCCAAAACATATTGCAAGGAACCATTTAAAGCTGAGCCCAGAGTTTAAAGTCATTCAGGGAGATTACAGTCTGGTTCTCCAATGGTTTGGGATTGGACTGCCTGCTGGATGTGTTTGATGTGTGAAGAATGATGACAGGTCGAGAGCTGATGCTTTCCATGCCCACATACCTGCCGGGCCCCACTTAGTGCAGCACACTCACCTGAATCCATTTAGAAGCCATTTAATAAAATTGTGCTCAGTTTAAGGATAATTACAGAGAATTACAGGCAGCATAGAGGAGCTGTCTGTCTGCCCAGATAATCCAACTGGCAGCCTGAGACGTTCAGCCAATCAAAAAGCCACTTCAATCCAAAAGGGAAGTGTTCATTTGACCACCATATGGGATTTATTTTGTTCACATATCATTTTAAACTGCATTTTTGTTTCTTAAACTCTCTTTAGAACTTACTCATTCATGTTGTGTTTGACAATCTGTTTCCTGTCCATCTCCAGGTGTGGAGGGAGTTCCCAGACAGGCTGGTGGGTTACCCAGGCCGGCTGCACCTATGGGACCATGAAATGGGGAAGTGGAAGTACGAGTCGGAGTGGACCAACGAGGTCTCCATGGTGCTAACTGGAGCTGCCTTCTACCACAAGGTGACCTGGACATGAAGAAGTGTTAGCTGCTTGAGCTCTGCCTCTTCACACACACATTTCCCTTGAAGCTTCTCATGGAGCCATTTAGATTAGTAATGATGCACACAACGCACGTTTTGAAAAGGAAATGTTCAATTGTATGTGTAAATCGAATTGTAAATTAAGTTTACTGAAAGGATTTGAGAATATCCTGTGGACTTCTGTTTTGGGTATGTGTAGGATTTTAGAAAAGAAGATTACAATGATGGAAGAGCAGCATGTCATAGGTAGGGCAAGGTTATCTCATTTCTACTTTAAAGCTCAAATGCTCACTTAAGTTCAAAGCAGATTCTAGTGCATGGGTTCCTCCTACAAACTCTTGGGTCACCGTGTCAAACAGTGTCTGCATTATTGTAAATAATGAGTCTGCTGTATATCTTTATGACACCTAGTAATAGTGAATCTGTTTCCATTCCAGTATTTCAACTATTTGTACACATACAAGATGCCGGGAGACATCAAGAACTGGGTGGATGCTCACATGAACTGTGAGGACATTGCCATGAACTTCCTGGTTGCTAACATCACGGGCAAAGCCCCCATCAAGGTACGTTCCTGCCCGGGCCCGGGTGCTTTCAGGGGGGCTGAAGCCTGACAGAGCGCACCAGCATCTCTGGGTTTGATCAGCTCTCACCCTCTGACTTCCCCGCCTCTCCCCCTCCCCATCACACTCACTGTGCCCAGGTGCAGGGGCCCGAGCTAAAGCCCAGCCTTAACCTCCCTTATCTGGGTGTCACTCACTGGCACTCCCCCTCTGAGTATGTTTTTCTAAGCTCACCGGGGCTCACGCACACCCTGCCATCAAATCACAAGCTGCTCACTTTCCTTCGCCCGCACCCACGCTCCATCCTCCCACCATATCTCCATCAGATTCCACCCAGCCTCTCCTACCAACCCATTCTGTCTTCCTGTCTCGATGTCTTTTCCCTTTCTTCTACACACACATCCATTAACAGGTCCAGAGCGTTTGGTGCAGGCATGTGTCGGGGGTGTAGATGTGATGGAGGTCAGACAGACAGAGGAAAGCCATACATCACATCTCTCTCCAACTCCACTGATGAGAGTTCAGTTGTTGTGCTTAACAACAGTTCTTGAAGGATGTTACAGACTTTGTTAATACGTGTCTGGGCTGCTCATTTTTGACAAACCGTTTTAGTTAATTATTGATGTGACTTTGTTCTGCTTCTGTTTAGGTGACCCCCAGGAAGAAGTTCAAGTGCCCCGAGTGTACTGCCATTGATGGACTGTCCCTGGATCAGACGCACATGGTGGAGAGGTATGGCACTTTGTTTGGAAGTCATTGTTGATTAAATAAGATCAGTAAAATCTTTGTTTATTGATCGCGTTTTAACCGTCCAATATGTGCATGAGCGTTTCATTGTTTCTTTCTAAATATTTAAAATCACATTTAATTCGTATTAAAATGTATTATGCATCTTTCTTTAACTTGCATTTTGGTCATGTGACAGAACCGTGGCACTGCCATGTCTCTTTGTAGCAGGAAACACAACAACCTGAATTATGTTTTTCTGCTCCTTTAAAATGATATTAATAATAATAATAATAATCGCAGAATTGAACAGGACGAAACGGCTTCATTATTGAACTTTTCTCCAATTATTAATAAGCACATGCAATTATTTATTTGAAGTCAAACACATTTTGTACATAGGCAAGTTCTGTGAGCTGTGCTTAAATAAACACCTAAGATAAATGAGAAGATTTAAACAAATATATATATAGATCTACAGGACTGTCTCAGAAAATTAGAATATTGTGATAAAGTTCTTTATTTTCTGTAATGCAATTAAAAAAACAAAAATGTCATACATTCTGGATTCATTACAAATCAACTGAAATATTGCAAGCCTTTTATTATTTTAATATTGCTGATTATGGCATACAGCTTAAGAAAACTAAAATATCCTATCTCTAAATATTAGAATATCATGAAAAAGTATACTAGTAGGGTGTTCAACGAATCACTTGAATCGTCTAATTAACTCGAAACACCTGCAAGGGTTTCCTGAGCC